AGGGGTTTCTCATGGGTGGGAAATCCCAGCCGGCACCCAGCTGACAGCCCCAGTGCTGCCAGCACCCATCCCAGAGACCATCGCACACCACGTGGGCAACTATCACGGGATGCGGCAGCCGGGAATTCTGGCAGCGGAGCAGCCCGTGTGACAGAGGATGCCTGGAAGTGCCCCCTGCACCCCAGAAATCAGCTGGCTCTGGGAAGCCGGGCAGGTAGCCCCCCCAGGAGGGGATACAGGTAATTTTGGGTGCCCCAGACCCTTTGCCCTGAGCCCTGTCATGGGCACGCATGACTTGGGTGAGAGTTTTGTTCCCTGCTGCTGGTGGAGATGAGCACAGAGAGGGAACAAGCTGACCAGCCAACAGGGAAAATGTGCCCCCCCTTGAACTGTTTTGTCTCACATACGCTGCTGGGACAGCACATAAACTCTGTCCCAAAACCAGCGTGGCCAGAGCTGACAGCACCGCGTCGCTGGGGTTTGCAAGAACATCTCTGGAAGAGGACAAGCCAACGCGGCGCTGGATGAGGCTCCAGCCCAGCCGAGAGGCAGACAGCTCCGCTGGTTCCCGGCGGCTCCCACAGCGGACCAAAGGCTCCAGCCACCAAGCTGAGCCTAAAGATCCTCCCCTGCTTATTCGAGGCGTGACAGAGCCCGCAAAGCCTCCGCCAGCCCATCAGCAGAGCACCCCAAGAGCGGGGCACCCCGAAGAGACAGCGGGAGACAAGCGCTGGGGTTGATTTGTTGGCCTGCGAGTCTCTGAGCCGGCGCCACGTCCCTTTGCTCCAGCCCATGGAGGGTGGCAGGCATCCCCCCCCTTCTCCCGTCCCTTCTGCACGAGAAGGGGACATGTTGGGACAGGGACAGCCCAGCCCCACAGGCAGCGTGCCGGGAGTCAGGAACTGCCGGGGACAGGCGAGCCTGGCCTGGATTGCATTACTGCTGGCGCTGTCACATCCACTAATCTCCTCCATCTGAGCCGATTCGCCTCCTCACCGCGCGGAGCTGGTTCTTACCGGTTCTCAGCGCTTGCCTCAGTTCGGAGCCAGATGTCCTGTACAACATCTCGCTGTCTAACCCTG